TTTTCCGCCAGCCTTCGTATTGGCTCACAAATCACACAGGTGCGGAACGTACAATTTGGCGCCTGGCAGTTCTGGCACGACTCCCTTGGCCGACTTAGAGGGCAACCCGGAGCGTAGTGTCCTGGCTGATGGCATCGGAAGCAAATTGGGCTTCCTTGTCCTTGGTTGGTTTGGTCTCGGCCGGTGCTTGGGCATTCAGAGATTCGGTGGCCTTCCCCGTTACAGCCATAGCATCTCCCCTGGAAAACGGCCCGACTCTGCCCGGTTCTTGAGTTTTGCTGGCGCCTCACAGCTTGCGTTGGCGCCTGCAATGATGGAGCGGTCCGCGGGTTGTCACCAGTGCCTCCGGTGTTCCTCTAGGCCCGCTGGTTGGCGTTTTGTCGCAGTGTGGGCGGCATCCAATTGCTCGCCGCATACTGCCACCCCGATTCACGATTAGAGGAGCGTTCGGCCGTAGCAACGCTAGGGGCTTTTGCCTTCTTTTTCTTTTTCTTGGCCTTAGACTTATTTGCCATGGACGCCTTTACTGGGGGGGCCACGGCATTGGCTGCTACATGTGCCCTTTTTCCTTTTCCCCGGTAGGCGGCGTCTTCAACTGGCAGGTTGTCCTTAGCGAAGGAGGGTGCCACCTTCTCTCGCGTTTCCGATATTTCTCTAGTCTCTCGCCGTAATACTCCAGGTCGCGTAAGGTATGGACGGACTTCTCCCTAATATACCTCCCGTATTCAGGGTTGAGGCCCGCTTTGGCCAGCCGGACCTGTTTCCTCTCCGAGGGGGGAGGCCTCATCCTTCTGACGACGCTCTCGAACGCGGTCAGGTAGTCCTGAGCCTGCGTCCGACGAGCCAACACGTCGTACAGTTCCTCCCTTGATAACGCCCGACAGTAATGCCGGCGGAAACTATCCGCAAAATCCCGGAACGTTCGCCACGTTCCAAGTTTGTTGGCCAGCCATACCTCCGTGCGGTCCAAAAAGATCACGTCCAGGGCCGGCAGCACCTCGCGGTCCGGGAGTCGGTACATCCGCACGCAGCGCTCAAGTTTCTCCAAGAAACGTTCCGCGACTGAGCCCAACGCACCGCTAAATTTAAGGTTCCACGTGCGGAATGCTGTCACCGCGTCCGCGCGTTTTCCATTCAAACGTCCCCTGGAGGTGCCCCGCATGGAATCGCAGGAGCTCGACCTGGTTTGGCCACCCTGACGAGCCCGGAATCGGCCGTGCGGACGCGGCTCTTCAGGGCTGCTCGTGGAGCTCCAAGCACTCTCCTCATCCGACTCCGAGAAGCTCACTCGCGCTTCCCGCCGTATCCTGCCAAGTCGTCTGCCGCGGCGTAGTCGCGTTCGATCTGGCTCGTTCAACGATTTCGGTGACGACGCCGGACAGTCGTGGGTCGGTGTCGGCCTGGGTTGACGCTTCCCTCCGCTCGTGCCCGCGGCAGCTATCATTCGTTCGAGTCGGTCTGTAAGGCATCCAGAGCTCAAACGCCTGGGGGATCGCCTCCTGGTCTCCCCCTGCCCCGCGGCAATCACTGCCCGCGTCGGCAGTGGCTGAGAGATCGGCAGATCAGTCGGGGCCCGGAGCGGTGGGGCCCCAGGCGTTGTTGGGATCTGGCCCCCCGCGCCAAACCCAAATGCCTGCAGAACCAGGGCTAGCTGATCCAAGACCGCTGGGTCGATCTGGACGAGACTCGGGGGCAAGATAGGGTTTGACGGTGCCGGGGCCGATAGTGCAGGGTCTGAGGGTGCCGCATTTAATAGCGTCGTTGCTTTCATCCCGTCCTTCCCGCCTTCGTTCATCAAGCCCACCTGCGGAGCCACTGGGCCCAATACGGAGACTTCATGTCTCCCTTCATCTTCGGTGTCCGACGAACCACTCGCACCCCCTTCTCGGATCAGGGTACGGTTGGCGAGGTCAAATGGCTCCACCGAACCTGCCGTAGATGGGGAGTGTTGGACCTTCTTTCGTCCCGAAGGGTGAAGGAGGGAAATGTCTCCTGTTCCCGATGGACGGACGTTTGCCTCCCGAGACAGGGCCTGTTCCAATAGCGTAGCCAGGCTCTGATCGACCCCCGAGTCACGGTCTCCAGCTTAACCATGCTCCGGTAGTCGTCCCGATAGGAAATCCTCGGGATAGAGGGGGGCATCCGTATCTGGCCGTGCGGCCATGATGAATTGAGGTAGCTCGCTCATACATAAGATTATTTCAAGAAATAACAAATGACTAAACTTGTTTATCCCAGGGTTAGGTGGATTAACATGCTGATAGTTTGACGGGGTTAGTTTCTAGGAGGTGAAACACCCCTTAAACATTTTTTTTTTAATCCGGAAACACGTCAATTTAATTTTGGTATTTTCTCATTATCAGTGCGATTTTTAAATCACTCGAGCTGTTTTACTGTATTACTTGTCGTAAAACAGTACAAAAAATAGTGTATTTACCCCTATTAAAAAGGGGGTTGCAACCCTTCGGTATAAATGTTATGTCCTTAAAAGCGCCTTTTTATAAGAAATTTTTTAACGTTAAGTTTACTGAAAAATATTCATTTGATGCTGAGAAATATTAAAAAAACTGATTTTAGGGGTTGATTTTCAGGGTATATGTCACCACTTAAAAGCCCTTATGGGCCGATAAAAAAAAAACGTATCTAATTTTTTTTCAAGTACTACAACATATCCCAAAATCATTCAAATCGGTGAGGTCGGATTGGGGTGGTTCCCTTGTAAGAAATTAGGTGTGAAGAAAGGCAGTTAGACGTGAGCTCTCGAGCAATTGGGTCCACCTGAAGAAACAGGATCGGATGCGATTCCTGCGAGTCAACTGCTGCCACAAGTGCCACTGTTACGATCGCCAGGAGAAGAAATTTGTCTGCAGCTAAGCCACCTCGAGCAGTGACCATTCAGCGTCCACGGGGCCGTGCTGTGGCCCTTTCTGCAGTGGCACCGATCATCGCCAGGGCGTCGTTTCCCACCGGACTACGTTTTCGCTGGCGTCGTCTCTCCACCGACAGACCGTCGGTGCCCGGTGGGTCTAACCCTAATATTGTCTCTCTCGCGCCAGCTATCGCTCGATTACGGATCTCCGGAATTTTAAGAGAACTTTATTGCGCACACGGCAAAGAAAACCTTGTAGCGTACATTTGTAAAGGCGTTAATAAATGAGATCGCCAAGTGCATTAAATTTTCATTGACGAGCTTATTCATTTGAATCCTCACCTAACTAGAGCGAACGTCGGCCCGTGAAAGTCAGCGCCGGCTTTCTTTACCGCGATTGAACCTATTAAAAATTAGCAGAGCTCAGCCCAAGGCGCACGGTGGCTGTATCCTCTCGTAATCGGGAGCAATACATACAAGAAGACACTACGCTCTGCGGCGACGAGCGCGTTGATTGCAGGGGACCGCTCGACATATTGGAGTCATAATAAGGCAAGTCACCTCTGCTTTTTACCTCTATATACCTGTGTACTATTGTATAGACGGTGGATAACGACTTATCAACTAACTATGTGTAATTTGTAATCTAACATTTTCCATGAAATATTCCACGGTTAAGGATTACGTTTTTTCTGCATTCTCGTTGCTTTTCAGATTGCTTTGAACTTCTGAAGAATTCACAGCGTAATTCGCATTTCGTAAAGTTTTGTATAGAGTGTTATTTTTAATTACTCGTATTAGCTTTTACTTTTATTAACATGAAAATAACGTTCAAATTTCATAATGACTAAAGAATATATAAATATCTGCTAATAAGTATAAAAATGAGAAATCCGACGCTTTTGAAAAGTTATTCTGGCAAAAGAAAAAATGAAAGTGATATATATGATTATTACATCACAAGGTTTTATAAGTATTTCTAAAAAATCTAGATCCTGATATTAATTTTAATTTTCAAAATATCGGCTTTCAAGAAATGATCACACTTTTTTTGAAAAGTTTAAATTTATGTCCTAAATAATATTATATGAAAATTTGGAAAATTAATCAATGTATCCAGAGTTATTGAAATAACCTCTAATTAACCCTATAACTTCCACTTCGTTATTGTTCTGCTATTAGTGGTTATGATTATAATGTTGATTTTCAAAAGTTTATCTGAAAATCATTTTCCATAAAAATAATACAACGAGATTTAACCTTTAGCGAAAAATATCTTTCAACAGTTTTCAAGGGCTTAGATTGCATTGTTTTTGATTTTTTTGTAATTTGCTATTATTGTCGCAAATTGTTACCAAGTTGAACTCAAAAATAACATAAATTTCCTTTAATTGCAAGGTTTTCCTGCTGGTAATAAAAATAAACAATAGTTTTATAGGCAATGTTTTGTATTAAATAATGCCCGGAAATAAATTAATAACACACAAGTAAATCTTTTACATTTTGGCTGAGTTTCGTGAGCGTAGCCAATCCACAAGCTTGTTGTTGATCAGGGTTTCCGATCGGAAAATCTCTCCCAGGGTTCCTAAAAATTATTTCAGTATTTCTGCGGGGAATTGGAAACTCGGACTGAACTGCAGAAAATAGTAAAATAATTTTTAGGTAGCCTAGGATATATTTTTTGATCGGAAACCCTGCTGTTGATAGGGGGAAATAAAAGACAAGAGAAGATTATTGGTGTTTAGTCCGTGTTACCAACCGAACTCGTCGATGAAATTTGATTGTCGATAACACCTGTCCTGACTTGTTTCGGATACTTGATAAGCTCGGTTTGATGTATATATACATGTATTATAAGAAAGCATCCAGCAGATTCCAACCGCTTGCGACAACGGAGCTGGAGAGCTCGATCGCTGACCAAGACAAACCAAGGGAGGAAGTGACATGCTACGTATTTATTTTAATTATTTTAAATAAAGCTTGAATAATAGTTAAATTTATTGACAAATTAATAGCTGTGTGGACTTAATCACAGTTGATTTAGCGAGGAGTATGTATTAAAATACATTTGAGATCCAAATCGCAATTTTCATCACAAAATGATCGATATAATTGTCCTATATTTACTATTGATAATGTAATCACAGAAAGTGGCAGCCGCATTTAAATAAAAGATATGAAAGGTAATGCATTGACGCAATAACGATGGCTTTATTCTTCATAAAAGTATGTCTATTTGTATCGATTTGTATGGAGTACATTGTAACAGTTTTCTTTTCAAAAGAATACAATAATTTCTTTCAACCAGCATTAACGTAATCAATTCATATTAGATCGGATAAAGTTCAAGAAAGAAGTAACACGAGTATATATACCTGGGAAGCCGGGTTCTGCACATTTGTAACCACCCGATACTACGCCAATCAAGTAATAAGTGGCGTTCCTTGGGAACATCAATGGGCCACCACTATCACCCTGCAAATACAATGTTTGGTTATCTCATTTCATTGTTTTTATATTAAGTATTGCCGTCAGTCCTTACTTGGCATGCATCTTTGTCACCTTGAGCGTAACCAGCACATATTACATTGTCATCTACTGTAAGACCCCGAACATATTGATAAGATCGCTCACATTGTGCATTGCTAACTACTGGAACTTGTATTTCACGTAAAACGTCGCTTGAAGAACCATCTGTAAATCAGTTTTATTTTTCTGTTAATCAAGCATACCTAACACAGGCCTTGAAATTTCGATATTTTATACATTTTTTGTTTTACTGTTCAAGCTCGAGTAACAATACAAGATTTAGAAAATACTTCTGCAAAGCTCGATCTATCTCTGACTTAGTTCCAAACCCTGTTTTATCTTAAACTTTTTAAGTGACTCGACATTTCAACATTTGGATTAGTTTGAAAGTTCAATTCGCCAATTACATTTCATACGAAAGCGCAAGTTTTCGAGTTGCATAAATTGACTGGATAATTTATCAAAAGATAACATTAAAATTATGTATAACTATATATTTTAGCAACAAGAAAGAAAATTCGAATAGTTCGAGCTTTTGCAGAGGTGTATCTGTTGGAAAATTAAATTGTGACCACTTGCTATTTTTACTACAATTTACAAAAGTTATTTGTCGTTCTTACAAGCTTATCCTAAAATTTAAATACATAATACTCATAATAACGAGTAAGCAAACGAGCAAGATGAGTGACTGATTTATTTTATTGTATTTAATTTATCCGATAATTTCATTAAAAAAATTATTTTTGTAATTTAGTTCATCTGTTTAGTTGTTAGTTGCGTGGCAGATGCCCATTTACCTACTAGTGATTATAGAACACTCACTGTAATATGTTGCTCCCCAACCAGCCACAAATGGGAATGTTCCAACATAATTGCGATTCTTAACATCGTTGGGCAACGGTAAGCATATAGGTTGAATCATGTCTGTAATCGGTACAATTTCACTTCATTGTTACGCAACAAAGATCAACAAGTCAATGCAAAAAGTTTAAATCGATATAAATTCTTAAAAGGGAATTTTCAATAATAAAGATACATAGAAAATGTTAGATGAATGAAATGGATGTCAATATAAAAAGTTAGCATTTAAAATAATAGTATGACTTTAATTAAGTTATCGCCCAGGTGATCCTGCTGAGTAATTATTAACTTTGTATAACTACTACAATATAAATAAAATGTTGCATCTATAATAAAGTGAAGTACATACTTGTGAATTGTACATCTTTGTTGAGTTTTAAAATGGCAATGTCATTTTTTAACGTCTCTTCATCGAATTCTGGATGAACAATTGCTTCTTCAACTAGTATATCTCTCGGGTTAGCTCCATCAGTTTTACTTTTAAGATTTCGTTCTCCTAATCGTACTGATTTAAGATCATTCTGTATACAGTGGCCCGCAGTAACTACATGTCGAGACGATATTAAAGTTCCATCACATCTAAAGTTAACGTATGGCGATGATGGTTGTCCATATCCGATTAAAGCAATCCAAGGCCAAGCTCCTTAAACCATTCAACAATTCTATCATAGTACTACTTATTGTTCAGAAACAATTACACGTAACGAGTGTTTGTAGTTCAAATAAACTCTACATAATAGATAATATGAAGAAATTGCAAAATGTACAAAAAATACAGTAGCTAAGCCGTGGAATCAAAAAATACTTTAAGAAAATACCTAAGGCAGCCGGGTTTCCGCCGACTACTCTGTCGTGAACAGCATCGCTGTAACCGCATTGAGGTGGCTGAAGATATTCCACTGATGATTTATCTTCAGGTTGATTATTGTTGCTATTATTCTTATTATTGTCTTCGTTATTGTCATCGATGTTAGGACAGCAAATCGTTACATCAAAAAAGTTCATCGAACAGAGTGATGACTTTAGTATGCGATGTCCAATGAAGGGATGTTTCCTTATTAAATTCAACAATGGTTGACAGTCATTAAGACTCTTACAAGTAGCTGGTCTTTGAAAAATAGATTTGCATTTGTGCACCCTTGTCCTCGGAGAAAAATCAGCATTGTCTATTGTAAATAAATCAGGGTAGTGTAGTAATACTTTTTACATTCATACAGCGGTATTATAAATAAATTTATAAAACAATATATTTCACCAGATGAATACGTAAACATTCTAAAAACACATAAATTTATTGTAAAAAAATCTCCATTTATATAGAGCATTGAAATCAGTTTACCGTTATTGATAATTACGCACGTACTTTCCAGTTTTAATAAATGTTCATAGAAACATTATTGTACAAGCATTTTTAAGCATATAACTTTTTCAAATAAGAAATATACTGAATGACTATAAGCAATGAATATGTAAATTCACAACTATAAGCGGCCAAATTATAATGTACTTTTATATAGCATCATATATTCTTTTATAAAAGTACGTATCTCCATGTACTATGTATGCATAGGGATAAGAGATTTTTACTCTTCAGCCATATTCTTTTTGACACCTTTTGCCCTTCAATTTACCCTCTTTTAAGTTAGTTTTCTTTCATTTTTTCTGTTTTTCAAATATGGTTGATTTTTGCCTTTTTTTCGGACTATTTCCGATACTCATTGTTTTTATTTATTGTTCGTTCATAAACTACGATTTTTTTTTGAGTTTAAGGAATGTGAATAAAGTAAGACTGTGCTAGAAATTGAAAGATGGTCAAAATATGTCAAAATTTACATTTTCGATAAACGATATCTGATGAGTATTTCCGTATCCGCTACTTGGAAAGACGCCGCATGCGGGATCATAGTAACCTAACATCGCTAATAATGTTATTTTACGGAAAAAATATTAAGCTTTCTTATTTTATGTAATTATAAAATATTGTAAAAAAATAATTTCTATAGAAGTGACAATCTCAATAAAAAAAAGTAATATAGTTATTGGATTATGCTTAAAATATTGATATTCTTTATCATATAACGATATCATAAGTATGAATAAGAAACATTTCGAAATGTTTGTCGTAAAAAATGTAAATTTTGATAAATTTTGACCATTTTTCAGTTTGCAACGTAATTGTTCGGTATTTATATCCTTAAATTGGAATGGTGCAATATAATTTATGAACAAATTTTAAATTAAAATGTTATTAAGTAGAGCAATTAGTCTTAGTAAATCAAAATCAGTTATCTGAATTTAATAAAGCCATATCGTTTTAGTAAAGGAGTATCCTCGTAAAAATTGGAGAATTGGCAAGTGTAGCAAACACGGAATACCCCCTAGTATATCCATACATACATACACACATACATACCATACATGCATACATAGACAAGATATTTTTGACAGATTTATTTTTTTTAATAATTAAACATTATTATGAAAAAATATCAATTAAATTTTACATTTATTTTTAGCTCCGTATAGAGATTTTAGTTACAATAAATACATTTAGATTAATGAAATAGAATCGTTAACGATTCGTTGACGACTAACTGAAAATCCGAAGGAGCTTGCTTTCTTTTTATTTTCAATTTTATTTATTTTACGTCATAGTTATTGGTTATTTTTGCCTAGTTACAGGAAGAATAGAGAAAGTATTTAAATATATATATGTTATTGTTTGGAATTCGAATTATACTTGGTCCTTTTTGATAAATATGCGTGGTCACCGTATCCCAAATAAATTCGATAATTTATTCATTACGTGCTTCTTCTGTTACGAATTACTCATGTAATTTTGGAGTAGATGAATGTGCTCGCGCGGTTAATCATTCTTAATTATCGCAGTACGGCCTACTTGACTTTCAGTTGTCAAGGTGAGTACTCATCGTGGTTACATGAATTTAAAAACTATAAAATTATCAATCAGTAACATTCTCGCCCTCGTACAAAACCTAGTGGTTTTGTACCTCTGTGACACGAATTATTTTTCGGGTAGATCTTACTAATAAACCATTAACTGTTCGGACTTTAGTTACTTTGACGTCATCGGGAAATATTTGTGTAATGACTTCCTTTCTCGATTGATTCCTATCTATATTATTACGAGTTATCTATATTGTACAGTACAGTTTGAGCTGTCGTGCAAGTAAGACGTGTAGTTCACTCCGGCTGTATCTCAAGAGTTGACGTGTTTATACGCTGCGGCCGGTTCGCGGCGTACCCTGAGCTTATTTACTTTCATAATATAATATCAAATAATATAATACAGAAAAGCGAAGAAAAAGTTTAAAAGTACTAATGTTAGAGTAACCAACATTGACTAACACATAAATTCCGCAATGCTTGACTCACAAGGCTCGAATAGAGCTAGTGAAACTATTGAAATAAGAATGCAAAATGTAAGTTCAATCGAAAATGTAACCATCAAACAAAACGAAAGTGCAAGTTCATTCTCTAAAGTGCTAACTAGCAACATGTTCCCGAAAAAGAATCTCGCGATTATAATCGACACTGTTGAAGGTATAGAAATTCACAAATATCTAAAGGCTATAGCCACTAAAACGGCTCCCACGAACATTATTGCTCCATCGAAGATATCACAAAATCGTTTTTGCTGTTATCTAAATAATGAAAAAATAGTTGAAAAATTAACTACTCCAGGAAACGACACCATCAAAATTGACAATTATGTATTGAAAATCAAACCATATGTAACCAAAACAAGGAGAACGATTTTATCTAATGTCCATCCTAGCATTCCGCACGACGAAATTATTTCAGTCCTAAAAACAAAAGGAATCACACCAAAGTCTAGCATGAGCAGTATCAAGCTCGGATTCACGGAAATTGGATTTACACACATATTGAGCTTCCGCAGACAAATTGATCCAACCGATGCTGACAAACTTCCCAAAGAGTTAATTCTCAACTACGATGATTCGATACACCACATTTATATTTCAACTGACAAAATAACTTGTTTTATCTGCCACGAAGAGGGACATATAAATACTGCAAGAAAGAAAACAGTACGCATAAAGCCGACAACTCTCAGAATTCCCTGACAAACGATGGTACGCTTACACAAACGGAAAACTCCAATACGATTGTAGAAACAGATAAGCTAAGCCCGAGTGAGGAAGATAAATCAGACCAAACACCGCCAATCTGTACTAATGACGAGAATTTTTTAGATACGAATAACAGCAACAGCTCGAGTTCAATGGACAGCAGCTGTTCGCCAAACCATACCCTCGTGACATTACTCACACAGCTAAAAGACCGCTCTCCGATAGTTCCAAATCTAACGATGATTTCGACAGAAAGGCTGAACATAAACCAGCCAAAGTTGCATCAATGAAGAAGAAAAAGAGAACTATTAATCACAAACAGGCACCAACCAACCTTCAAAATCTTATCAATACAGCGATTAGCAACTTCACCGAAATCAAAATTAAAACATATCCAGTAACACTTCCTGAACTATCAGAATTTTTATATGAGACTTATGGCACTGAGTATAATAATATACCAACCTTGGCAGAAAAGTACACAACAAATTCAATCGCTTTAATTGCGATGCTCAGTGATGTACACAAGAACATTACTGGCAGGAGCATTAAAAGGAGAATCACAAATATAATCAAGTATTTGGAACATAAACAAGAAGCAATCGATGTTGACGAAGAGACTACTAATAGTGAAAGTGAAAAGGAATATAACACCCATTGTTAGTTTGCTTATTTATTAACGGATATCAATCGTAACTACATGAAAAAGACCACACCAACTAAACTTCGAATTCTCTACTGGTACCCGGGAAGTGTGTGCAACAATATAGAAGAAATAACGAAAATTATATAAAATGTCGATATTTTTGTGTGCGTAGAGTCTTGGCTTAAAGACAATGATGACTTCTCATTTACGGGCTTCAACACTTTTCGCAAAGACAGAGTATTTACAACCGGCGGAGGTATTGTATTCCTGATAAGAAAAAGTTATAATTATGCAGAAGCAAAAAACATTCAAAATATAAATAATTATACTGAACTATGTGGAATTGAGATCATCAATGTACAAGAACCTATTTTAATCATTGCCTGTTACAATCCTCCACACATCATCCTAAACGAGCAAGAATGGAGTTTTTTATTAGAGTACACAAAAATCAAAAATAGATGTATCTTACTTGGAGATTTCAACTCACATAATATTGCGTGGAACTGTGATGACACCGACAAAAACGGCGAATTGTTACTCGAACAATACTAAAAGTGCGACTTGTATTTGCATAACACTGATATGTACACACGAACTAACGTACAAGCGAACACTAAAACTAACATTGATTTGATTTTCTCTACGATAAGCATTGCTCATTTGCTGAAGGTTAGGGTATCCGGCGACTCTTGCGGTTCCGATCATTATCCTATTTTTTTGTATTTTGATACTGATAAATATTCCTACCACAAACTATCGTTAAAAATACAATCTAAAAATACAAACTAGAACAAAGTCTCAGAAATACTTAATGAAAATCATGTTCAATTTTTAAGTGCAGATTATGACGACTTACCCATTCTAAAAAAGTATGATATGCTATTAAAAATAATTAAAGACGCTATCACTAAATGTACTCCAAAAAAACGAAAATATAGCAAACTAAAGCATATAGGAATCCAGTCGCGTGGTGGGACAATGACTGTGACAGGATAAAACGCCAAAGACAAGTGGCTTACAAAAAATGGGAATACAGAAACAATATTTCTGACTTTATAGAATATAAGAGAATGTGTGCTCTAGCAAAAAAAAAACATTCAAATTTAAAAAAAAGAAATGGTACCAAAAATTCGCGGAAACGATTTAAAACGATTTAAATGTCAATTTGAAATATACTTGGAATATGGCTAAAATTTTCAAAAATAAATGGGTAAAAATAAATCCGCAAAGCAGAGATGAATACTCAACAGTAAATAACAAAATTGAAAATGCACTCAATAATATCTGTTCTGAATCGATGCATTTCGAACCATTAGATTTACTTGCGACAACCGACAATACATTCTTCGATGAATCGTTTAGTTTTACTGAATTTAATACGGCTTTATTCTCGAGAGGAGAT